TTGATGTGCAACACAAGCTCTCTGGAATGTTCTTACTTGCATTTTAAGAACCAGGCAGAGATCTCTCCAGATACTACTCTGCTCGGTCCTTCCCCCACCCCTTCAGTGCCCTCCTCTCCAGTGGCTGATTGCCTGGGTTTTTCAGTCCCAAAGCAAGCAAACCAGTCCAGCAAACCAGAGTCCTGTGCTGTTAAGAGAGGATATAAGATACAAGTCCGAGGAAGATACGAACATCTTCGGTTTAATCGCCAGAACACAAGAAGGTGAATTTAGACTATCCTGTTCTCTCTCCGACAGCCTGAAAACAAGCTATGAGGTCATTCTAATGAACATGGGCTCAGAGCCTGCAGGAGACTCGGGGAGGAAGAGAGAGATGGATCTCAGTGACCACCCTTCTAAGGGCTAAGTGAGGGGCGGAAGCTGCTCACTGTCCCTGGGCTCAGTTTGGGCCCTTATTACAAAATGCTCCAGGCTGGGTAACTGAAAATGATGAGTGATTCCCACAATTCTGGAGGCTGGGTCTGAGATTAAGGCACTGGTGGGTCCAGGGGAGGCCGCTTCCTCACGGATAGTACCTGTCTGGTGTGCCTCTGAGGCAGGAGGGACAGGGCTTGAGCTGGGGATGAGTCCTGGACCCTGCACCCCCTTCCCTAGGACACGGATCCCTTCATACAGGTCGAGGCCGCCTGTTGGAGTGGTTGTCACAGGGCGGGGAGAAACGCAACGCTCCGCCCTGGCTCCTAGGCAGGGCCCAGCCTGACCCAGGGGCCACCGGAGCCACAGCGAGCTATGGAAGTAAGGGCTAGGCAACTGGGGCCAGCGCAGCACCCCTTCGGCGATGTCTGAGATCGCCCTGGACACAAGCTGTCCCCATGCCCTGCAGCCCCTGCAGTCAGCAGAAATGCACCCCAGGTTCGTAGCCCCTCTTTTGTGTCCTTTGGGATTTGAGCCATCTGGGCCATCTTGGGAAGAGAGTCAGGGTCACACCCAGGTCTGTGTGGCATTGACCCTCCTCCCGCTGCCTGCCTGGCCTCCTTGTCCTCGAGCGCCTGTGTCTCAGACTGTGCTGAAGTCAGTTTGAGAATTTGCTAGGATGAGTTGGACCAGAAAGGACAGAGGGAAAGGCATTAGGGACAGGACAGCTTGCACAGAGGGAAGACCAGGACATCGCTGTCGGGTGGCCACAGGAACCCTGGATGGCTCAGCCCTTCCGCAAGTGGTCCTGCGGAAGGAACTAGCTGCCATGGCCTCCAGATGGCCGGGGGTGCGTGTGGCATCTGCAGTGGGTGACTGGGCACCCAAGCCCTGACGGGAGGACAGTCTCATGTTCTGGGGAAGGGACAGGCACCGGGCTGCACTGCACACACCTGCTTTCTCAAGGCTCCCTCCCTGTCCGGTGGCCGCCCTGGTTCCCAATGCCAGCGACAGTGACTTGAGTTTCCAACCCTGAGCCAGGTGCAGATGTAGCCCTGGGAGGCTGGAGCCTGGCTTCCTTCCCACCAGAGGATAGAGGGGTGCAGACGCGGGCAGTGACACAGTGACCAGCGCTCGGAGGTTGGCATTGCTTCTGTGCGGCTCCCCTCTGCTTCCCTGCTGTGAAAGACCCTGTCTACCTGGCTTGGGGAGGCGGTGGCCACCTCCCTGGAGCTAGGTCTCAGTAAACCCCTTTCCCATTTTATGCAAATATGTGACCTCCTTCGATCTGGTCAGCATCGGGCAGAGGAATTTCAGCTTGCAAACCTGAGTGACCAGTAGCAGGCTGACCGAGTTTTCTCTTCTAAGGAAAAAAAAAAAAGGCAGGGCCCCTACCTCTCAGGTTTCTATGGCAACAAAGTAGAGCAAATCAAATTCCTGCCTAAACTGGAAATCGCTTCAGGGGTTCTTCTGCCTGTTTGTGTGGGGCCGCCTGAGCCCACAGGTAGGAATTTTTCTCTGTCCTCCCTTCCCCCCTTTCCCTGCCCCTCCCCTCCCCACCCCCCCTTTCCCTGCCCCTCCCCCGTCCCGTCCCTCTCCGCCCCTCCCCTCCACTCCCCACCCTCCCCGTTCCTTTCCTGTCTTTATCCTCCTGCCAGCCACAACAAGTGTTTCCTGTGCAAACCCTGCTCCAGAATCCGGACTCTCGGAGAGCTAACGAAGCCTGCCCGGTCATGCAAATGACTCACGGGCTCCCAGAGCACCCCGCATCGCCCCTGCCCCCCACACACTGCTGGGGTGACTGTGAACACCACTGGCTGACAGCCTGGGGGATTCATTGCAGGCTCATCTTTGATTTGAGAGAGGGCGAGAGTTGACAGGCTGAAACGCGGGGTGCCCTGCTTCTAACTGTTCTCAGCCTTTGTGTCACTGTATGTGACCGCTTTCCACAGCACATTTGGGGGTTAAATGTAACGTAATAAGGACAGACAAGCCTGGTGGGGTCCAAAGCTGTTTCCTGATGAGCAAATGCAGACTATCGCAGAGGAGTTTCCTTAGCGCAGGAGCAGGCAGCGGGGACAGGAAGGGCCGGAGACGTGGGAAACAGCCCATCAGTGGGAACCAAAGTGCAGGGAGCAGACGAGGGCTCTGAGCAGGAATAAACATTTTTAGGCAACATTGAACATGGCCCCTCTTACAAAGCAGTCACCACTTCCTGAACGCCTGAGTCTGGAAATTTTAAAATTCAGTAAGTGCCCTACATGACAGAATGCAGCCCACCCCTCCTAAAGATTTTAGGAAATTATAGTACAAAAACAACTAGCTCTTGGCAAAATCCCAATTTACCTTAAACACTGTATTAAAAAACTGAGCTAAAAAACATTCTAATTGGTCATTTCTTTTGACTTCACAAAAGCACCCGTAATAGGTATCCAGTCAACAATTAAATAATTCCTGTGTCCTGCTAACCTAGAAACAATTTGTTTAGGTATCAGGAATCAAACTCAGAACCTTGTGCTTGCCAGGCAGGCACTTATGCTGCTGAGCTGCATCCCAGCCCTAATAACTTTTTTTTTTTGAGATAGGGTCTTGCTATGCAGTTCAGGCTGGCGTTGAACCCACTCCAGAGCCTAGGCTGACCTCCAGCTCACGGCAGTGCTCCTGCCTCAGCCTTCTGAGTGCTGGGGTTTCAGGTGTGCACCACCACACCTGACACCTATAAATAATTCTTAATTTGAGGGGCCACGTGATAAGCCAGTGGAGTGCCTTCCTAAGATGCAGGAACTATTGTTATTTCCAGTAAAACTTTCCCAACCTCTTTCTTTGATTGTCGATTTCATTCTTCGGTGTTTTACAGAATTCTGAACCTCATACATGCGTATAACCACAGGGTAACTGTATTTAAGACAAAACATCATTTCATACATAATGGATCAAGTAACGTAAAAGCGTTAGAGATACACACACCTCTCAGTACCCTGTGAACCTAGGCCGTGGTCTCTTCTCAAAAACAAGCCTTGTCATTTTGTCAGACATTCTTCTGGCCCAGGAGCGACCAAGTATAAAACAGCTCCCCCCAGGAGAAAGCTGCCCCTGGTAAATACTGATCCTTCGCAGGTTTTCCTGCTCGTATGATATGCACTGGATTTCTATGTAAATTTACTTCCTACTTTTAAATGGTTGTAGAGACAGCCACAGATTACTCAGATCTTTAGTAATATCAGAATGAAGGCTGCATGGATGACGCTGTTCACACAGAACGGCCTCAGTGGGCCTCTGTGCAGTGGCGAGGGGTTTTTTGAAGGAGTCATAAACATTGTTTGAGGAAAGGAAAGCCCGGTGTTCCGGGTTGACCTGTGCCCCTCAGATTCGTGTGCGGAAGCCCGAGCCTCCTGGGTTTGGGGGCAAGACCTCTGAAGGTCATGAAATAAAACCAGAACCAGGTCCTCCGGGCAGGCGGTCACTATCCTCCAGGACTGCGTCCTCATGCAGAGGGGCGAATAGGAGAGGGAAGGTGTGGGGGACACAGGAAGACCAGTAACAGCCTGGAGGAAACCAGCCTCTCAGCACACTGGGCTTGGTCTTCCGGCCTCCAGGATGTGTGGAGATAAATAAATGTCTCCTGTTGACACCACTGGGCACAAGGCGCACCTCTTCCACATTAGTGGAGAGGATTCCTCCAGGGGCAACACAGAGGAAAGAGAAGGGCACGGGGAAGCTGGCTCTGGAAGGGACAGCACAGTGTCACACCACAGCAGTGACTGGGACACGGAGCATGTGTGATGGGGACTGCGGACTTCCTGTTCCCCAGGTCCATGCAGCTCGGCCCCCAGGATTCTGCCCGGAGAGGGGACACTCCTGGAGAGGAGGAGGCTCTCACCTGGGATGGGATTTGGGATGGGGTGGAGGGGGCGGGGACGGCGGCAGGGAGAGGGGGAGGGGCACCCTTTCTACTGAGTGTCTCTTTGGGGCAGGATCCTGGCTCCCCACTAGCCGCTGTGGCCACAGCAAATGTGGCCAGCTGCTGGGTCATCTCGGTGGTTTCCAGTGGCCCGAGGGGCTGTGGTGAGCACCGCAGGTGTCCTGAGGGTGGCAGAAGCCCCTTGGCCAGCACTGTCCTCTGCCACTGCTGTTCAGGTCCAAAGGGGTTCCTTTGATTTCTGCTTTTGATCTAACTTTCCAAAATGTGTTGCTCACCTGTTTGTGGTTTTTGTTTTTTTGCGAAAGGATCTCACTTTGCTGCTCAGGCTGGCCTTGAACTTGTTTATGTAGCCCCGCTGGCCTTGAACCCATGGCATTCCTCCAGCTGGGATTGCAGGTGTGCTGGGATTGCAGGTGTGCTGGGATTGCAGGTGTGCTGGGATTGCAGGTGTGCGCCGCCACGCCCGGCTCGCACAGCAGGTTTTAAACAACAGTTTTGTGAAGCTGTCATTCACCTACTGTGCAATTGGCCTCTGCAAAACATACAGTTAAATGGCTTTTTCATTCTGAGGGTTGTGCGGCCATCTCCACGGTCCATGTCACACCTGTAGTACCCCCATCCCTGGGCAGAAGGTGAAGAAACATTGAACACCTTTCTCTTCTAGGTCTTTTTGAAGTACGAGGAGACAGAGCCTCAGTGAGGGGTAAAGTCAAAAATTAATTCACCCTCTCAGCTCTGACAAAGTGTCCCAAGCTGTGTGTTCTGGATGGGGGCCCAGGCAGGGTTTGCTGGGCAGAGTCCCCCTGTGTGGTTGAGAAGATTCCTCCAAATGCTGGCCATGGCCTTGCTCTTTGGATTTATGTGGTGGAAGGGAAGTTTCTGGTGACTCTGACCGACTCTGTGCCTGCCTTCTCCAAGCTCTGCATGGTGGGATTTCTGGTGACTTTTGGCTTTTTCTCTACCATCTTGCTTTCGTCCCCAGGTGCCCCAGAAGATGGCCCGTCCCCCAGCAGTGCGCCCCGAGCCACCGTCCCTGGTGGGGTCTCCAACCCTGAGAAGAAGATGAACGGGGGCACCCAGAAGCAGAATGGCCTTTGGACCACAGAGGTAGGGGTGCAGCGTGGGCCAGGGCCAGGTGTGGGGAAGGCCCTGCCCTTGTGAACGAGGCTGCTGCCCTGGCCTGGCCCCCGCCCGAGGCCCTGTCTCCCTGCCACTGACTTGCTCTCTGGAGGAATGGAGGAAGCGTGTTTGGTCTCAGTGCGGCTGTGTGCGGGGGTCTCCTCTAGGGAGAAGACCGTGCTGGTTACCGGAATGTCTTGGGTCAGGCTGCATGGCAGGTGGGGAGCAGGCAGGGAGGCAGCATCACCCTAATGGTCACTGTAGGAGAGGAGGTGGGGTGTGCAGACCCGGGCCAGGCTGACCCCTCTCCAACCCTTTGACCCCCAGAGCTGTGCTTGGGCGGTCCTCCCCCTGCCGCCCTGGCTCCCCATGCCTCCTCCTCCTCCTCCTCTTCCTCCTCCTTCTCCTTCTCTCCCTCCCACTGCATCCCCCTCCACCCCAACACCATCTCCAACCCTCGAAAGGCTGCTCCCCCTTGCACCCTCCTGGTCCTGTCCCTGTGGGCCAGTGCCACCGCATGCTGTGGGCCTGGCGGGCCTGGCTGGCGAAGAACCTCACTGTCATCAGTGAATCCCTCTCCACTGCTTGGTCAGCAAAATTCAGCTCTGGCATTCATCCAAGGAGGGGCCTTGCAGGACATCCACGCGGTGGAAATAAAATCACCCACAGGAGTCGGCCAAGGGACGTGCTGCCATGAGCAGAGGTGCTCAGAGACGTAAGAGTCCGCAGGGATGTGAGCACCACTGCCACAGCCGAGGAGATGGGACCCCGTGGGTAGCTTTGGTCTTCCTGGGGCCCCGTGTTGCCCACTTTGCCCCTGCCTAAGCCGACCTTCTTGCCGCCCCCCAGGTGGCCTGGACCCCCAGAATCGCACTCAGAAGCTTGAGACAGTTCTAATGCAGGCTCAGACATCTGTCCCCTGCCCCTTTCATCAAACCCATGACCCTACTCTTGGGTCTAGGCTGGACCACGGTGGGAGGAGGCAGATTGCCTGAGGGACTGTGTGGCCCAAGCGTGTTTCCCACCTCCTTCCCCTCCTGTCCATCGTGGGCAGGTTGGGCTCTGTGCTCTGTGAAATACCCACGGTCTACTGGCATCACACCATCTAAGAGCCCAGCAAAGTCAGCATTGTCCCCAGAATAACGGCTGTGTGATACCTGGAGATGAGTGTCAGAATTTTTCATTGAAAAAGGCAATGATTCAGAAAGAGGAGCATAATGTCTTCAAGCACCCGTTCATGTATTGGTCAGCGTTACCACTGTAGTGCTGCATAACAAAGCATCAACATTCTGTGGCTTCCATACTGACCTTTCCTGCTTCCCTCATGGCCAGTTGCTGCTTCAGGGGGACACACTTGACTTGAGCATCCAGGTCCAGCTCAGTCTGTTCCAAGTATAGTATAGTATTCTGGAAATCAGGCCAAGAAATCAGCAGCCCTCTGAAACACATTTTTTTCCTAACTCCTGGTGAGGTGGAAACCCAAGAGGGCAAAGCCAGCTGCTGGAACAAGTTTCTGCTCATCTGTCCACCAGCATGCTGGTGGTCAGTGGACATCTAGCAGATAGGCCTGACACCAAAAGTGGGAGGGGGAGGAGAGGACAAGGAGCCATGGTGGGGTCTGCCCCTAGGAACACACTCGGGAGAAGCACAGGCTGGGAACCCATCTGGTCAGGGAGGGCGTTGCACAACCTAGGCTCCCCCGCCCCTTCCGGTCAGCTCTCCCGACCTCTCCCAGGATGGGTCATGCTGCCCTGTGTCCAGGGTTTTCCTAAGAGGGTCCGCATGGTGTGTGGTGTGCGGTCTTGTCCGGCTTTGCTCACTGTGGTCCTTGTGAAGATCCCCCGCCGTTGCACCTTGCAGTGGTTCCCTCGCTGTGACTCTCGTGGGTGTTTTATTATGGATACAGACCGAGACTCAACCGTTTTACTTCCTGGGCAAGTTTGGGGCTGCTGTGAACAGAAAAGTCATCAACATTCTAGCGCACACCTGCGGGTGGACGTGCATTTCCCCGGGTTGTATATTCACATCTTTGACCGGAGTGGACACTGACGGTCTTCGAGGTGATTGCTTTGTACTCCAGCCAGCACTGTCGAGTTCCAGTTAAGAGTTTAACAGTGAGTGTGCTGTGCTTGCTCGGCCTGCGGTGGCCACGGTTTACATGCGCGTGTGTCCCGGACACAGCCTGAGCACCGCTGCCACCTCCTTAGTCCGCAGGGTGTTTGGATCGGTGTCCAAATGCTGGTGGTGTTGTCTCTGGTTTGCAGCTGAGGGCTAGGACTCAGATATCGAAGGAAAGCCCTGTCCCACGCCACACACACACACCCCGGAGCCGTGTGGCAGGGAAATGGGGCCGGGCAGAGGGACCGCTCAGGGGTCCCCCACAGGGGAACCGCTTTGAGAGTGGCCCAGGCAACTCATGTTTTCATAAGTCGGGGACAGAGGCCGTGCTGTTTCCACAGCTGGATGGGGAGCCGAGCATTCAGTCCATGGTGTGCCTCGCAGCTGAGATGTCACCCCAAAGGCCAAGGCAGAGGCTTGCTGTTGAAGGGTAACTTTGCAGGGCCGCTGCACCGCTGGTGGAAGGAATCGCCTGTCAGCAGAGCCACCTAGAATGACACTCTGGCAGGTGCTTGACTGTCTGGAACCTGCCTGAAGGAAGGGTCTCTCCTGGTCCCTGGTGGGCCTCTGCCACCAGGTGACCAGCTCTTGGCTGCACACAGGGGTCACCTTCAGAGTAAAATAAAAGTTGATAGGAAAGGGACCAACAGTGGGGACCGCCACTGTGCAGTCTGCAGCCTTGCAGGGTCATTAATTGTCCCTATTGGTTGCCGGGCAGGAGGTCTGGCAGGGCGGAGTTTTGTTCCCACCTTGGCCTCTCCATGCTGCTGCAGGACCTCATGCCGTTCCCTGTCTGCTCCTGAGCTCAGCCACCTGCTGTCCTGTGCAGAGAAAGGTGGTGGCCATGTGGCCCCTGGCCGCTCCCTGCCCCTGGTGCACACCGCATTCCAGAGGCAGCTGGTTTTGTGCCTGGGCTCTGCAGCTGCTCGCTGCTGGTCCCTGCTCGAGGCCCGCCCTCCACGGTCCCCTGAGCCTCCTGCCCTCCTGAAGCTGCGTCTGCCCCTTGCTGGCCTCTTTCCCCAGGCCCAAGCTTCCTTCCCTCCCGAGCTTGTCCCGCGCTCCCGGGGTGCCTGACCACAGCCCCCCACCCTGAAGCAGGGCGGCTGATCTTTGTTCTCGACTTTGTGGCCCTGAAACAAGTGGCACTCGGCAGGAGAAACCGCACTTCAGGTTTTGAGTTTTGAGTTTTCCGGAGCTGGCGACACAGTACGACTCTCTCCTCCACTGGGCAGCAGCAGTGACTGTGGCCCTGAGGAGCCCCAGCCCCACGCAGAGGCAACTGATTGTCCTGGTGCGCTGAGTCGTGAGCTTGGAGGCTCAGGAGACCAGGTGCGTTAAAAATGCTTTTTTTTTCCTTCATCTTTTTCAGACAGGGTCTTGTTATGCAGCCTTGGCTCACTATGTAGTCCAGGCTGGTCTCCAGCTCACAGCAATCCTGCTGCCTCGGCCTTCCACGTGCTGAGATTACAGGCATGCGCCACCACGCCGGAGTAAACAACCTTTTGACTGATTTTGCTTTCAGCTTGCAGTAGCTTCTGGGGCAGTGACCCCTCAAGACCCAAGGGACATCCAGGGTCGCGTTACACAGTTTCCCCTTGAGCTTCAGCGGGCCACCTGGCCAGGGGTTCCTGGGTGACCCTTGCCGGGCTGGACATTTGCTCACCGGGTCCTTTAGCCTCCTGGTGATTCATCAGATGTCCCCTGAGTGCCCTTATCAAGCAAAGTACCTGGGGTGGGAAGGCGACCTGATGTTCTAGCCGCCGGTTTGAATCAGGGGAAGGGTGGGCAGAGCACAGAACAAGGGAGCCGGGCAGGTGTGGACACTGGCCCAGTTCTGGAGGCACTGGGGACCCTCGGAGGAGCAGCGTTCTGTTTGCACAGGGGCTACCATGGGCCCCTTGGTTTCTGAGGACTGATGGGGCACAGTGGGGTTGCCGTGACCCGGAGCGACAGCACCTCAGGTCCTCACTCACCCCGTCTGCTGCCCCTGTGGAGTGCACCATCTCACAGTTGCACCTGCCCTTCTGCAGTGGTTTGGGACCTTCCTGACACTGCAGTGTCCACTATGCCATCCGCCCTGTCTCCCCCTCCCAGCTCCCTGCCTGCCTCAACACACGAGGGGAAGCTGTGTGTCACACTTCTTCTGTTAATCAGCTGTCGGGGGCTGTCCCCTGCTTTCCCTCACTAACTCCCAGCAGCCACCCCCTTGGGCTCGGCATTTGCGCCTGCCCCAGTTTGAAAGCCACCTCCTCAGGTGTCCAGCAAAGGCTCTGCTCCATGCAGACAGAGTTCCGGGTGTGTGGCCGCTTCCCAGGGGCAGCCTGTCTTCAGGGACGGCTGCTTTGTTATTTTTGGCACAGTGACCAGATCGTGCCAAAGAATCAGCCCGTCTGGACCGAGTCTCAGCTCATGCCCCTCCCACCTGGTGTCTGGCAGGCAGGTGCAGCCCTGGGTCGCCCAGGCTGGGGGGTGGGTCACCGGCTGAGCCAGGAGACGGGGCTAGAAAATTCCTGCAGGACAACAGCACTGGGAGACATTCCCAGAGGGGCCTGAAGGTACTGTAAAGACAAAAGACAGGCCACTCAGAGAACAAGAAGGAGAGAACAAAAGAGACTGTCAGGGGAGCCAGAGCCACATCATTGCACTTGGGTGCATGTGAAGCTCAAGGACCGAGCAGCACAGGGAGGGGTGCCCGGCCAGGTGATGGAAGGTGTGGTGAACATTTACATTAAAAATTATCATAGCAGGCTGGGGATACAGCTCAGTGGCACAGCACCCACCTGGCAAGCGCAAAGTTGTGGGTTCAATTCCTGACACCAAAGGAAAAAAATAAGAAGTCATCACAGTAAGAACATTGCCATTCATTCCTGTTAAGCTCTTACCTGGCTTCAGACACACCCTTACCGTGGTCCCGCCTGGCCAAGGAAGCCTACACGGTGAGATTCCAAGGTCTCTTGGATGGCAAAAAGGGTGGCTGGTTCTGAGTATAATTGGAACCCGGGGGAAAGTTCTGGAGCAGGAGGCAGGACCTGCAGAGTGTCCTCCTCAGTGAAGATTCCCTCATGCGTCCTCTGGGTCATTCAGCGGGGTCTGTATGTGGCAGGCAGTGTACTGTGTTCTGAGGAAATCGAGGAGATTGTAGCGAGCAAAATTAGACAGGGTCTCTGTCTTCTCCAAGTTCCGTTGCATTGCTTTCCTGGTTGAAAATATGAGAAACAAAGGGGTGGCGCCTGATAAGGGTCTTCTCGGGGCCTTGCATCTCTGTGCTGTCTGCTCAGGGCCGTGAAAGCTTTGCAGAAACTCCAGCCACGCAGAGACCTCTTGGCTGGGGTTTGTGGGGAATGGAGAAGGCTGAGCGCATTCCTGCAGGCTCAGATGAGGATGGGGATCTTTAAAGGCAGCCCTTGTGGAGGGACACGCTCTTCTGTGGTCAGGAGGGGGCGGGTGCCAGCCAAGGGGAGTGGCACTGTGACACGGGCAGAGCTGTGCTACCATCAGCCAGCGAGGGTTTGGCTTGTGAGATTTTTAGTTAGTTTGTTTTTTTGAGACAGGGTCTCACCATGTATGAGGCTGGCCTTGAACACACCGTGAAACCCAGGCTGGCCTCAAATTTGAGGTGATCCTCCTGCCTCAGCCTCCTGGGCAGGGATGGGGATGACAGGCACGCACCACCATGCCTGACGAGATGTTTAATTGTGAGAAGTTCATCCTGGGCAAACCAGAAGTTGGTCACTGTTGTTTATGTATGGATGTTCCCCAAAGCCACATGTGGTCTTGGGTGCAGGCTTTATAGAGAAGGCTGAATCTAGAGTTTGTGATTGGTCCATCGTCTAGTGCTGGGATTGACAGTGTGAGTGCTGCGCCCACCCTGGGCAGGGAGCCTGCGTGTGATACAGGGAGGAAAGATGTTTGCTTCTCCTTTTTGCCCTTTAGTCCCTTTTTGCTCTGGCTGATTCTGCTGTCTTCTGCTGTCTTGAAGTGTTTTCCCTGTGCCAGGCCACCCTGCCTTGGAGCTAGCTGAGTATGGACTGAAACCTCCACACACTGTGAGCTAAATAAATGTTTTCTCCCTTCATTTTGGGTGTCGGGTATTTTGTCTCAGCAATGAGAGAAAAGTAACTCAGACAATCACCTTACTAATGCTAAGTGACACACTTAATTCTCTCAAAAAATCTAAGCATCAGACAGTGTTCCATCATTTGCAGAGGGGGCTTGGGCTCATTCATGCTGCTTGCTGGCACACTCAGCCCGGCTCGCTGAGCAGGTATGCAGCCTGGGCTGCTGTGGTTGGGGCCATAAGCAGGTGTCGGCGGTGGTCTCTCTCAGGGTGACTAGGGGTAGCATTTGTCCTACACAGGCTGAGAAATTAAACATCAGCCAACTAGAGAGAGGGAGAGAGAGAGAGAGAGAGAGAGAGAGAGAGAGAGAGAGAGAGAGTTTTAAGTTCTGAGGACTGAACCCGAGGCCTTTGCAACGAGTTCCATCTTTAGTACTTTTTTGTTTTGAATTTAATGAGACAGGCGTGCACCACCTGTCATTTAATGACAGGGTCTCATTAAATCATCCAGTTGCTCCAGCTGGCCTGGAACTTTTGATCCTCCTGTCTCAGCCTCCCAGTATATTGAGGCTGAGGTGAGCACCACCCCGCCTGGCTTGAACCTCACTGTTTTCAACTGAAAAACAGGCTGAAATAAAGCAGAGACTTTTCTGTGTAATCTTTAATAATTTTTGGTGGAATCTTGCCAGTCATCTTTTCTAAAGAAAAGCTTCTTTGCAGTACAGGAAATTTATGCTTCCAACCTGGAAAACTCTCCCACCTTCCACCAACTGAGGTGGGAATTTGGGCCGCCATCCACTTGGCTCATTTCAAGGGCGGCCTCTCTCTCTCTGGGCACTGCACGGTCTCTAAGCTTTTCAGTGACAACTCCCTAATGGAAGCAGACAGAGCCAGCTTGACGTGGCCTCTCTCCTTCCCTCCCGCACATGGCATGTGTGTGTGCATGTGTGTGCACGGGTGCATGTGTGAATATGAGTGCATGCTTGTGTGTGTGTGTGCCTGTTATTAGCTGGTCCGAAGAAGTTCAAGGCGAAGTGGGAAGAAGGGCGTGGAGGGAATGCTTCAGAGCTGTGAGGAGGAGTCTCGCACACAGCCAGAAGTGTCTGCTCTGGAGGGTCGGCGGGGCTGGGTCCCCTGTCCATCCCCAGACATGCCGGGCCCTGGGAGCACCGGGAGAGAAACAGCGACCGCCTCTCTCTCCAGACCAGTAGACGGGGCTCCATGGCAGTTCTGTTGTCCTTGGATGCCCCTCACAGCCACATCTCCAGGGAGCATCACCTCAGGTCAGGTCCCCAGCAGCAGGGCCTGAGGTGGCAATTCCTGGGCCACAGAGGCCAGAAGCAGTGGCAAGCTGGCAGGCATGGGTAGCTGTGTGGCCTCGGCATGGGCCTCTTGGTCTGGAACTGGGGGTGCTGTAGATCTGTGCCCTGCATCCCCACCACACGCAGGTGGCCTGGTTGGTGGAGATCAGGGACTGTGTCATAAGAGAAGTGGACACCTGTCCACCATGGCACACCTGCTCTGAGCACACAGCTACCAAGGGAAGGGACATGGAATCCCCCACCTCTGGTGAAGCTGGTTTCTCTTTGCGAGGGTGGGGGTGGGGTGGGCATCATTGCTCAAGAAACTACAATTTCGTGAATGCTTTAATGTTTACAATTTTTTTTCCTCTCTCTCTCTCTTTTTTTTTTCCCTGTGGTTCTGGGGATTGAACTCATGACCTCACACTTGCCTGCCAGGCACTTATGCCGCTGAGCTAAATCCCCAGCCCCAGTGTTTACAGTTAATCTCCAGCTCCTTGTTGGTGCAGCTTCACCTAGAAGTTTATATCCTGCTTTGTAAGCTCTCCTCATGTGTGCTTAGCGGCAGGCAGAGTGCTAAGAATCTTACATGCACCCCCTTTTTTAAGGCCTGCCATCCCTTAAGAGGCAGCTAATGTGCCCCATGTTCCAGGGTGAGGGGGTTAGAAAAGCTCCCTGGGTGAGACTACACAGCCAGCATTTGAAACTAAGTCTGCCCAAAGCCCCAAACCTCGACCTCTCTGCCGGAGCCCGAGATGGACACTTGGAGACTGCCCTTGGGTGATGTCAGCAGCTCATTTGCTCAGCTGGGTGCCTCGGGGCAGGTCGTCTGCCATTCTGTGCAAGGCTGGTGTTCACAGTGCAGGGGAGGACACCCCGGGAACAGCCTGCATGCTGGCAGCACGCTGTCCTGTTTGCACATACACACACACACGCATGTGTCGTAGCTGTGTTTCCGTGCACCTGTTAAAAAGAAATTTAACTTTAAAACTGCAGATGAGGGGCGTGCAGACATCGCCCTGCCAGCCCGTCCTCCTGCCCGTGTGTCCGTAACAAGCTCAAGACGAGACTGCGGACAGGAGGCCTCGTGGCTCTTTCCCAGTAACTCAGTTCACCTTTCCACTTTTCCGCAGGCTAAAAGAGACACAAAGCGAATGTCTGCCAAAGAGGTCACCATTCACGTGCCGGCCGGCCTCCGCCAGATGGACAGAAGTAACAGAGTCACGAAGAACTGCGTCAACTAGTGGTGTCCCGATGTAGGAGCAGAGGGGTTTGGGGGGCCCTTTGCCGTCCTGGATGCCACTGAGGAACCTTGAAGTGGCTGACCCTGCCGGGCAAGACGACGCTGGACACTGGAGCAGAGCCTTGATCCCTCAGCCCCTGCTGACCACGGTCCATGGACTGGACGGTCTGCAGGGTGCCCATGGGTGGGCGGGGAGATGGGGTCCGGTTCGCCCCTTTGCAGCCCTGTCGCAGGTCTGGTGGAGACAGGGTGAGCTAAAGCCCCGGGTTGGCTTTGAGCAGGAAGGGGCAGGGGTTGGGTGTCTCTGCTGGTGACAGTTGGCCAGTGGCCAGTGCCAGGCCTCACAGTACTGTGTCCCAGCCACACTCATCCTCTCCCCTTCCTGTCCATCCTGCCATCACGATCTCACAGGGTTCTCTAGGAAGCCAGCTTCCCTCAACTCCAGCCCAGAAGTTTGTGTGAACCTGAGGCCCAGGGACGGTCCCTGTGGCCCCTTAGCTCAGTGCAGGCGGGTTAGAGCCCACACCCTGGTGCCAGCCTCAGCAGCACCCACCTGGAGCGTCTTTGGGGTGTCTCTGTGATGTGCAGTCATGTTGCCATCTGCGTTGGCCTGGAAAGTGCTCAGTGCTGGTGTCCAAACTCCAAGTCCTTGGGGGCCAGAGATCCCGGCCAGGACGCCCCGGGCTCAGGCAGAGCTTCCGATCCCCTCCCCCTCTCCTCCCAGGGTTTTGTCTCATTCAGGGTCCTTTGTAGTCGTGATCAAAGACAGCGAGGAGGACACCGGCAGGAGACAGGTCATGGGAATGTGGGCACCGCAGGCTTCCTGCCTCTGCCCACTGCCTGGCACAGAGCCCCTGGGTGGAGAGGGCCAGCGCCTGCCCGATGGTGTGAATTCCTAGGTGTAGACCTAAGCTGCTGACCTGGTTAGAGGACATTTGATAGGGATCATTTTCTAGTTCTTTTTAAAAAATGTGTTCTGCTGGGCATACTTTCCTCCAAATAATGTGGCATGCTTTTTAAAGGACTGTTAACATGCCCCGGGATGGGTGGGCAGGGGAGGTCAGGCGGCCAGCACTGGGTCTCTGGTGTGGGCCGTTCAGATGCTCGGCCACTTTGTGCTGCCTCCTCACCCGCAAGGAGTGTGACAGGGCCCACTGGCAGGCTGTGTAGACACTAAAGGAAACGCCCGCCATGGCAGCCACTGTGCTGGGGTGTGGCGGTCCAAGCCGTGGGCCCCGTCCAGCAGGGAACGGGTAATGGGGAGAAGGACGTCACCCCAGGGCCTGGTGCAGGTTGGACGTGAACTTTCCTGTCTGGCAGCCGTGTGCGTCCAGCCCCTGTCGAGGTGTCACGATGGCGGTGCAGCCATTGCTGTGCATGAGACCAGTTTCCTCACCTCCCACCACTCCGACTCCTTGCCAAAGGGCTGACAGGGAACTTCCGGTTCTCGGTGTTTTTTAAATAAAAGCCAACCCTGTGACTCTGGTGCCTGTGGCCTTTCTCAGCAGCAGCCTTGCTCTGCTCAGGGCTCGTCCCCCAGGGGCTCCTCCGGGCACCCAGAAGCCGGCACCACCCTGCCTCTGTGGGAGGAGGGCGCGGATGGGCCCTGTCTTGTCCCCAGGTGGGGCCCACGTCGCACCCCGGCACTGGGCACTCCTCTGGCTTTTCCAACGCATGTTTAAGACAGGAGCTGATTCTTTGTTTTCATACAGTGCTTTTCACTGCCAAGTCCATGCCATTTCAAACACGTATGGCTGAGTAGAGAGAAGCTTTCGCTAAATTTTTTGTATTTATTTATTATTTTGAAACAGCATCTCACTATGTAGTTAGACTGATCTTGAAATCATTGTGTAGTTCAGGTTGGTCTCGAACTCACAGCCACCCTCCTGCCTCAGCCTCAGTGTGCACCATGCTGGGCTCTGGAACATTGCATTCATATGCAGAGCATGTTAGACTTTTCCTCAAAGGCCTTCTAGCCCCTGAGATCCACAAATGCAGAATTTTCATCTTCATTTAACTTTCCTTCGGAACAACAGCAGAGCACAGTAGTCTTCAGAGATGCACGACAGTATTACGGTGCCTTTGAAGGTAAGGCTGATCCACCCGGGGTCAGGGCCTAGTGCAAACCTGAGATTACAGACCCACCACAACACTTCCTGCCTCCCTCCTTGTGGCAGAACAGGTGAGGGTCTGAGCTGGCTCCCCATGGAGAGCTGAAACACCAGCTGTGTCTTAATGGCACAGAAGGCTGAGGCAGGAGGATCGCTGGGGCCCAGGGGATGGTGACCAGCCTAGGCAACCTAGGGAGGCTCCATAAGGAAAAAAGGGAGAAAGATGAAGGAAGAAGGGGGGGGGGGAGGAGAAGGCGACCATGGAAATCGCAGTTTCTCCTGGAGATGCGGGATGACAGGACAGGCTGCGACCTGGACCTCGGAGTGCTGACGTCTCCAGCACTCGGCCAGGACTGAGAACTGGCGTCTCAGACACCTGCCACCAGTGTCTCAGACGCCCAGGCTGCAGTCCAGCATCCCCCTCCCAGCCCCTGCTGGCCCAGCGAGATGCACAGACTCTCCCAGTGTTGAAGGATTCTGTCAGGGTCGGTTGGGAAAGCTCTGAGCTGCCCAGTGTGGAAGGATGAACCCAGCGTGGAAGGATGAACGCAGCGCAGTGGTTTTCTGTTCCATGGTTGAGCCCCGAAGGTGAGAAGCAGCTCCTGGAACCCAGCCCCACCCAGGTCCTCTGCTTCCAGGCACCGTGTGTGATGAGGTGCACAGTCTGCCTGGCCGCCCTCGGGTGGGGAGTGAACATGTTCGAGAACCTTCCCAAGGTGCAGGTGCCTGGCTCAGGAAAACTGCCTGGACCTCTGCGCGAGGAAAAGCCACAATTTTCTCCAGCCTGGGAAGCAGAGAGAGCCCTGAGGCGGGGTAGGAAGGGAGGAGCTGTGGAGCGGGGGGCTCTAGGGTTTTATGTTTTTCTTTCGCACCGATGATCCGTGCACAACTGGCTTCAGACAAGCCACGCTGTCCTCTGGGAAGAAGATCTGGCCCATGGAGAGGGGGAGGAGGCCAGCAACACCCCTCAGGCCCAGGACAGACCCGGTAAGAAGGAACATGCAGACACATCACCTGACTGGCCACAGGATTGGAAGCCCTTTAAAGAAAGGACCCTCCTAACCGAAGCATGGTGGGAGCCCTGGCTGAGGCAGGAAGAGCCCCAAAAGCTTGAGGCCAGCCTGAGTGACACAGCAAGATGCTGTCTCAGCTCTGAAGTTCCCGAAAGAGGGAACAGGATGGATTCACCTAGTAATCCTTAAGCGGAATCAAGCGCATTTTATTATTTCTTTCTTTATTTGAGACAGGCTCTTGCTATGTAGGTGAGGCTGGCAGTCCTCCTGCCTCAGCCTCCAGAGTGCTGGAGTTACAGCTGTGTGCCACCATGCCCAGCTCTCAGGCTCACTTTAGAGACACAGAAGTCTCTGGACAAAAGCAGCAGAACAGATGAGACTCCGATGACCCTGCGACACTAGATGTTTTAGTCACTTCAGGCCGAGGAGCTGATGCTCAGAATACCCTCACCCCCACCTTCTTTTTTAAATTCTGAGATGAGGTCCCACTAAGTCACTGAATTACCCAGGCGGGGCTGAACTTGCCATCCTCCTGCCTCAGCCTCCCAGTGTGCTGGGATTACAGCTGTGTACCACTACCCCTTTGCTAAACTTTTATTGGAACTGATCGTACCTCTCTGTGTTGTTCCATCAAATTCAGTTTGACTTTAACTACAGCCTTGTAAAAAGTAAGGCCTGTGGTGCTGACCTATTTTGGGGGCTTAATTTAACCATGGCTAAATAACCATCACTTCTTAAGAAGGAGAATTTGGTGTCGTCCACACAGAAGGGTGGTGAGTTCAGGAAGCTGGTGACTTGTGCTGCCCAGCAGAGGGCTGAAGGGCCAAGCCCCAGATGAATAAGTGACCATCACCCTTGGGGACTGGAGGACAGGTGACAAAGACAGGTGATGGCAGTGTGGGAGGCTGCTGGCGAGGCAGCAGCTCTGAGCAGCTCGGTGCTCCCTGCCGACACTGGGTTGAACTCCTGCAGAGCTTTCCACCGTGGGTGTCCCGATGGCTTTTCACTGCTCTGCTCTCTTTGGTCTTGAACGCCCTGTGCTGCAGGTGACAGCACGTGCTTCGTGGCTCTCGCTCACCTCTGTGGCTCACCTTCGTGGCTCTGGCAAACAGTTTCAGCATCGATGCAAAGAAGCAGGAGGACCTGGCTTTAGCCTCTGAATTTCCACGTAGACCTTTGAAACCCAAGACTGCAACAGATCATGAGAAACCAAAACCTGACCCTTTTAATACTTAGGGTACAGAAGCAAAGTGACACAGTCGCATGTAGCAGTCCTGTGTTGTGGAAGTTCTGGTAGCTCAGAGGAGCTGAAATACGGGCTCCATCTGTACTTTCCTTCCACCCTAGGCTGATCTGAAGCCTCAAGATCACCTCCTGCTGCACAACGATTGCTAGAGCTCCAGCCATTCTATCCACAGTTGAGGCCCAGGAATGGTGACCAGGCAGAGTGTCCTTCCCATGCAGTCGGCTGTGGTCATTTTCAAGTCCCACACAACGCTTAGGCTTACTGTGTGTTTCTTTTAGCAGGATATGGTCACATGACCACACCTAGTGTCCAAGGAGACTTGAAAGAGGAGTCTCTTAGCAGGGCGCTCAGCTGAGTTCAGGAAAATGGGGCTGTCACTCATCACGGCAGCGGGGAGGGGCGAGTGTGAGCAGGAGAGAGAAGGTGACAGCAGCCTCCGCTGCGCCCAGCAGTGAGCATCCTCCTGCCTCAGCTTCCTGGGTGCTGCGTTTATGCTCTGTGTCTGGCACCTTCCCTGGCTCTGGGGAGTGACCGGTGTGAACACAGCCAGACGGTAAAACCTCAGGTAAAACCCTGAGCTGAGGAAAGGGCAGAGAGCCAGTTCTCAGAGTCCCCAGAGAGAGCACCCTCAGATCCCTTCTGTTGCAGGCAGGGAGAACAATTAGACTCAGGACACGGAGTTTATATTTTTATGATGGTCACCCAGAGTTAACACAAGAAAGTGCAGGAAATCTGTCCACAACACTAAAGACATAGAATATCCAGCCAAGGGCCTGGATCCCACAGCAATGTCCCACATGAGTCCAGATGAAAACCTAGAGCCCATGACAATGCCTCCCATGAGTCCAACTGGAGGTCCCAAGCCCACAAGCCAGTCTCTTTTACAGATCCCTGCTGGGAAGGCCCAAAGGTCAGCGATGGAAGCCAGAAAGTCTATGCCAGCAGGGTAAAGGAGCTGTGCTGGTGGGTTGAGGGTTCTACGCGGGAGCCGAGAAGTCACACTCACAACAAAGACCAGGGATGTCCTGAAAGCCACCACAGCCATCCTCAGTGACATGGAGGCCCCAAGCTCCTCCGATGACAAGCACAGTTGGGTACATGCCAGGAAGCCAGCGTGATGAGTTCATCCTGGAGACCAAGCCGCACACGTCTTCCACTCTGGACCCAGGAAGCAATGCTTGATGTAAGGACCAGAGCTTCTCCAGGAGAACCAACGGCTCAAACAGCAACACGTAGGAGAACCCACAATGCCTCAAAGTCGCAATGCTTTCCTTCTCCACGTCTCTGTTTATGCTGGCAACTTTCCTCAGGTGGAACATCTGCACTCAGCATTGACCACCAGTTTTTAATCCGTAACACCTTCCTTCTGAGTTTTTCTTTAGGCCTCCAGGAACTCACTCACCAGCCAGGTGTGGTGGCTCAGATTTGTAATCCCAGCATCTGGGAGACTGAGGCAGGAGGACTGCAAATTTGAGCTCTGCTGAGGAGACTTAGTGAGGTTGCCTGGTTCTGGGGCTCGGGGGTCTCCTTGCAGAGGTGGTTTCTAGGTTCTTCTTGTCTTGAACAAAGAATTGGACCAAACAAACACAAAAAGCTTTATGGCTGCATAAGGTTGGCAAAGACACACTGGAGTGGGGGAAGGGAGCCCGGAGGAGCAAGGGAAGGAGCGGACCGCAGGGAGAGCAGGGCCTCTGCAGACAAGACCACAGGGCCCAGGACCACCTGCCACTGCCCAGCCCCCAGCCCAGCACAGGCCTGCGCCCTCTAAGCCCAGCGGTGGGTCTGGTGGGGAGGAACCAACACCAGCACTGTGATTGGCTGCGGTGCTGCCCGTTGGCTCTGCGCATGCGTCTAGGACTTTGAAATTCACAGGTCTGCGGCACCTTGCCAGACAGTTTTTCTGCCCCAATCTCCTGCTTTAGTGACTTAGCCACACCTATCTCAAAATAAAAAATTTTAAAAGGGCTGGGGGTTTAGCTCAGGGTGAAAGCATTCGGTTTGATCCCCAGTACAAAAAAGGAAAGAAAAAAATTCACCATGTAAGATAGGAAAAAGGTGACAGACACATGCTCCACTAGAGTTTAAGTTCAAGTGAGGTCACCAAGTGGCA